AAAATAAAATAACAATTAGGGTCGCGATACAGCGCTATAGCGTTGCACAGCAAAAACACAAAAATGCAGCATCGCACATGGGGTGAGAAAATGCTCCAAAAATTTCAGCTTTCACCGGCTGCTGAATTGAAATTGGGTAACAGAAGTGCGAACAAGCACATACATACACATACACACGCGCACGCATGTATACACCGACAGACTGCCGTCAATATGCATTTTTATGCGTTTTTGCACATATGTAAATTGCAAAAACGCAAATTGGGAAGAGGCTGTCTGTGTGTGTGTGTCTGTGTGTTCGCGCGTTTTGTCACCCACTTGAACTCGAGAACCAGAAAAGCTAAAAGGTTGAAGCTTTGGGAGTATGTGCCCATACCATGCGCCAGCCTCCCGTTTTAATTCCATCCCCTTCGGACGCCTGGGTGCCGCGTGCGGACTTTTTAAAAAAATATGCAAATTTTTTGGCGGGAAAGCGATCTCGGGAACCACACCAGCTAAGGGGCTGAGACTTTGTAGGGATATTCCCTGTGCATGTACTAGCTAAAGATTTCAATTCAGCTCCCAGGTGCGCGTGGTACTCACGTAAGAGTGTATGGAAGTTTTAGGGGGGAAATTGCTAACTCGGGTACTTGGAAAGCTAGAAAACTGAAATTTTGGGGGAATGTTCCCTATCCAACTGCAACTCAGATATTTCAAACTCATCCCTAAGCTATCCATGGTACTCACGTAAGGGCGTGTGAAAGTTTCTGCAGGAAAATTACCAACTCGGCAACCAGAAGAGCTGGAAGGCTGAAATTTTAGCAGATGTTCCCTGTCCACGTGCAGTTTTAAAATGTCAAATTCAGCTTTCCAAGCACGTGCACTAGCCAAGTACGGGTATGTGAGGGCTATTCAAGCAGATAATGACCTGAGTAATTCATGTCCGGTGCAAAAACGCATGATCGCACGGGCCTGCCCGATGCGTTCCAGCCTGGGTTGTATTTGCATAAATTTGCGAAGATGTATGAAAACGAGCGTATATTGTGCGGCCGAGCCGAATATTTGTGATTGTCGTAGCTGTTTGGAGCAGCCTGGCTGCATCGTCTTTCTGACGTGTGGGACTGTTTTTCCCGCTGTTGGTACTTTCGTTTTCACGAGTTTCTGGTTCGAGGGGCCAGTGGTGTGGCACTCTTCCTCTGTCACCAGTGGCACAGGGATAGCACTGGGGTAGCCCGGTACTCCACAGCAGGGACTAGGGCATGATGCAAAAACACTCGTTGCTCCAAACGCCCAGTAAGGCTGATGTTAGTTGCTGCCATTCTAAAATAGCACGTAGTTCCCAGCTATCCAAGCGGGCGAATTTGCAGCTGGGAATCTTAGGCGAGTCCTTTTACAGTTTAACTTTTGCAGCACGCATCCTGGCTGTTAGGGCACCTAGGCCCCGGAGTTTGGTTTGCTTCGTAAAAAGCGTCGGACCGGGGGAAATTTGAATAGTCACATTGTCTGAGTGCACTTCTCCGAACTTAGAAATACTTTTAATCCATAACGGGGGCAGCAGTACTGCGCAAGTGCTGAAAGCAGATTAGCCATATTTGGCAGTCCGCTTACGGGCGACCAAGAGATAAGCTGTTCGCTGAGGCTGCCTGCGTTGGAATTTACGAAGCCACTCGCCAAAACACCAGATCTGTGCGCCAGTCTCGCATCTGTGAAGGAAGTCTGACTTTCGCGAGGCCCGCTTTCCACTGGAAGGTTACTCTCAGTGAATTTTTTGCTCGGATAGTCATAGGATGCTCGCACTCTGCTACAGGTCAGCTTCATTTGGGAAGTAGTCCAAACGGTACCAGATGTCAACAGCAAACACCCGCTGGCAAGGCTGTCGATGGCTCGCTCTTTCGTGGTTTGCTTAGTTGCAGGCTAATAACCGGCTTCACTCCTCGCCCTCCACTAATGCCGATTTACCGTTGAAACGGATGCACGAAACACATGGGAACCAGCGGAATCGAACCTTCAGGCTTTGCTTGGTAGTAGTGTCACCTGCTACAGCGCCGCGCACACCTTCGTCCCTACCTCTTCCACTCCAGCCCTCTCTCGTCGATTGCACATACACTGCAACTTGCCTCCCTGCCAGGCCGAGCCGACGAGTTTTAGTAGTTGTTCTCGCTTCTCCGCTCGACGACTCCGGAAATGCGGATGGCTGGGGACTGTGTTGTCCGGCAGTGGGGACTGTAGTATTGGGCTTAATCCTGGGCAGTCAGTCCTCGGAATGGTACGGCCACTGTGCATTGATTTCTCGAAGCTCGGCCTCGTTCAACCTGATCCTCCGTGTCCGATCGATGTAGCAGCTTGAGGGATGAGTGCTGGCCGTTGCGCTGCTTCATGTCCCGGTATTTTTTGTCGGTGCCAAGCAGCAACCCGTCCTTCCTCCTCGGCCGCATCATCGATTTTTCCGTCTTTTCTCGGGACAAATTAAAGTTGTTTCTGAGAGGAGGGGCAGTGGAGGAATTGACTGAAGCAGTGGCGAATTTCGCCGGAGGAGTGATCCAAGTAGCTGGAAGGTGGCAAAGCGTGTCGGTAGCTAGCGCTGGAGGAGGATGTTTGGGTGCCAGGCACCGTGATTTTGTCGTGCTGCGCAGTGCGCAGCGGTTTCAGGGTATCTCTTCCGGGTTGTTACTCGAGCATAAATGCTTCGGATGTAGTGGCGGTGGGGATGTTGATGTTGCTAGAACACAATACTCGTGGGGGCGGCGTGAGGCATAACCACCGATTGGATTCAAGCTGGCGTTTGGGTCCAGTAGGCGATCCTGGCCGCGGCTCGCCTCGGCTGCTGACCCAGCGGTGCTTCTGTTCGTTCACTCATAATTCACAGTTTCAGGATTCGACAACTGCTGGAATTCTGCCTCCTCAGGCAATCCGTTACGTCCGTCGCTATGATGCGTCTTGCATTTTCCACTTATCGTCGTTATCTGCCTCTGCTGAAGCGGGTATCTTTATTCTGTTTATGTCTGGAAGCGAAAGAGAGGCTGGATACAAGTGAAAGTGCGGGGCAGGGAACCTAGGCATACAGCTCGCTTACCGCGTGTTTTTTGATCTACATGCCATAAAGAATGTCTCATTTTTGAAGCTTTTGGTGTGCTGCACACTGCACGCTGGGCGATTCACTGGTCTTCGTCCGGAATAGTAGCCATTCCGCCGGCAGTAGTCATTTGCGGGAGAGGCAGTTCTTCGGGAAGCAGCGCGAGTGACAGGGGTTCAGCTGTTCTCCGAGTCAAGGCCTAAGCCGATGGCACTCCAATTCTTAACATGCATTCTCACAATTCTTTCAGGCATGTGGACAGAGGTTATCCACAAGCTCACGAATTTCCGATTTTCGGATGCATTGTTCGGTGCTTGGGCAGAATGGATTACCCTTTCAGGATAAAGTCAGGCAGTTGCATTGCACTCGGCCATTTTGTTAGTTTTAATCATTTTGTTCCTTCTGTTCACGCAAACTCAAGAAAGCCGTATTGTAGCTTATTTGAATCACCATTTGTGGTTCTTGTCCACATAATTATGCGTTTTGTGCTGTGTAACAGCAGTACAAAACGCATATTGTTACGGGGTTGTCTGTGTGTGTGTGTGTGTGTGTGTGTCCGCAACTTTCAACTCGGGAACCACAAAGGCTAGGAAGCTGAAAATTTAGGGTAACGTTACCCACCCAAGTGTGACCCCGCAAATTTAAATTCAGCTTCCCCGTACCCACGGGTAACGC